TTACTAAGACCAAGACCATTGTTTTTATCACCCACATCCAACTCAACCTCACCAATCCTTCATCCCATCAAAACCCAGAGCAATGCCAGTATACGCAGCTACTTTATATGTAAGAGTTCCACATAGTTACTACGTTTCTAATTGATTTATTGTCTGCTGTGTATATTAGGCTTATTAATTTAAGTAAAACCAAATAAAAATTAATAGAACTAAAAATTGATAGAACATTTTGTCATTTTCGTCAAGTAATCTGAGCCAACATGCTTGAAAATGATAACAGAAGTGTCTGATGATTACATGAGAAAAATGATAAGAGGTGTCTTCCTTCAAGACGAACAATATTGCAATTATTTTAAATGAAAATTTGAAATAATCACACTAAATTAAATTCAATTTCAATTTTATTCTACTTTTGCATTATATAAATGCATTTCCGAATATTTCTAAAAGTAAATTTATTTTGCATTACATTTCCGAATTGTGAATATTAATCGTGAAATTATAATAGGTCTACTACAAAATATTTTTTCTTTACAGTTGAAATCCTAAAGTTTTTCAATCATGTAAAAAAATATATTCTTTTTAACAGCATGCACTGTATTACTTTTGTTTATTTATCGCATTGTTAACTTATCAACAGGATAAGATAACAAAAGAATAGGAAATGAGATTTACGGTAGCTATATTTATTATAGACCCAATCTTATATTTCATCATTAGTTTGAAAATATAGACTTTATTACAACTTTGAAAGTTATGATTTTCCTGGAAAAATTAACGTTCATATCAAAGTTATACTCAGAAAAAATTGGTTTTGTATTAAAAGTACATAAATAAATGTATGAAATTTGTAATAGTATATACAGTACATAACCTACTATAGTAAAATTTAAAAACTAATTAACTAATAAATAACAAATGACTACATTTTCAAAAATACTTTATATAGTATTACAAAATTTCATGTATTTATTTGTTTAGCCTACTTTTAAATTCAAAACAAAGGTACAACTTTGTAACTATTTCAGGAAAATCATAATGTTCAAAGTTATATTCGAGTTATCTCTATATTTTTATATATGTCACCGCTAAAGCTCGAAAGTCGTTATTGTGTACATTACCTAGCTAATTTGCATAGATCCTAGATTAACTAGGGTGATCCGTTAAAGTTGTGAAAATTGTTCCATTTCTCAAATTACCTAGATAATGTGCAGAGTATCTAGGTAATTCGCACATTACCTACTAGGCACTCGGTAAAGTGAAAATAAGATCTTTGCCACAAATAAATGTACCACAAATAGGTGTGCTTGTCGCAAAAACCAATTGCTATGAAATTCAAAGTGTCANTCCAAATAAGCCTGTTATATATTTTTTTATATATTTATATTATTTATAATTTAATAGTAGTTCAGAACTAAAATTTTACCCAAAATTCCAGATATACTCCCCAAAATCTGCCTATTTCACAAAGGGTCGCACGTAGACCATTGGTTCCTTTGACTTTTTTACTCCTGTGGGCATGGTCTGCGGCTCCGAGAAGGCCCCAACCGCCTCATTCAGAGCTGCAATTGTATCCAAAAAAAAAAAATTAAAAACTAATGCAAAGTCATTTTCATGTAATGAACATTCACTCACCTTACATTTTCCCATATTCTTCTATTAACTAAAACAAGTGATGGCGATTGGTTTCTACATAATGATTGTAAACAATTCTCCGTGATATCTTCAATTTTCTTAAGTATTCTACGTCTATTAAAATTAATTTTCATTTATCATTCAGAACAAAAATAAAAGTATATTTTTAATTATTCTATGCTACCTGTTTTCTTCTTTGTCTTCATATACACTTGAATTTAAGTTATTGTCTAGATTTTCAGATAAATTTGATGCTAAAAGGCTTTTTCGCAAATCGTCAATCGCCTTCCAAAACTCTTCCATTCCTTACACTTCACTCGATCGTCTGCTTACTTTAGTTCGATAATTCGACACAAGAGGACTCCACTCATTTAATTAACGCTTTCGACTAGAATTAATTAAAGAAATATTTTTATCATAAAAATTCTTATATTTCTTAATATAATTTATTAAGGAAAACTTGACAATAATAATACAAAAGACTGAAGATAAATGAAAGTTATTTAATGTACGATGTATAATTTATGTTATTTGGCCGGATGGCCGAGAGATCAAGGTAGAAGCCTACCGCTCTGGTGGTCCCAGGATCGAATAGGGAAGGGGCAATTAAACCCCAGTAATTTTTCGGGGGTGACCGGACAGGATATGTCGGGCCCCGTCTTCACCACCGACCGCCCCATTGTGGGCCAGGCCGAACCCATATGGGCTTGCTAAAAGAGGCCCTCTTAGTATCCACAGAGCGGAAAGAGTTTAAAAAAAATAATTTACATTTCGTACTGTAATTACAATATATTGGTTATTTATTATCCTATTTGAGTATAAATGTGTAAAAATTAAATACGAATTTAAATTTACAAATTTAATTAGAGTGATAAAATGATAATTAGAATCAGTGCTTTATATTGGAGGTAATGGATGGCCGCCATCGGTTAGACGAAATCTGGCCGTCTTTTTTCATCCATTTACATCTCCACAAAGACTGTCTTTATCAGGAGGCTGTAAACGTGAATTAGTTAAGTCCACGACCACGTTTTAAACTAAAACAATATTTATTTACAACAATCCTTGAGTACACTTGAAAGAGAGCTACACGTGCTCATGGCAGCGATCACCCGACAAGAAGAACAAGCAACAATACCCAGAATTCTCTCTCTGGGAAAAACCCAGTTCCCGTTTTTCTATCCGGGATTCCCAGGAAACTCGTAGAGGAGTGGCGCCATCTCACCAGTCCGTGATTTGTCGCCGCAATATCTAAACAAATTACTGCCGGTAAGCATATATGGTAACTGAAAATAAAGTTCCGTTTTAGGAAAAATGTAACAATAACTAAAAAAATACAGTGTTTATTAATACTGCTAATTATTTTTTTTGTAAATGTACAGTACAGTTTATATTTATATTACAGTATTTACAGTATTTTGGAAATTTTTTGTTTATCCCCGCCTGCACTTTCTTCCCTATTTCTTGCTTTAGATTAATATCGCTTGTTAAATGCTGTCCTTTTAGTAGTCACGTTTTTTTAATACGTTTCCCTTTCAAAACATCATAATTAGCATCGTTTAGACGAAATCTGGCCGTCTTTTTTCATCCATTTACATCTCCACAAAGACTGTCTTTATCAGAAGGCTGTAAACGTGAATTAGTTAAGTCCACGACCACGTTTTAAACTAAAACAACATTTATTTACAACAATCCTCGAGTACACTTGAAAGAGAGCTACACGTGCTCATGGCAGCGATCACCCGACAAGAAGAAGAAGCAACAATACCCAGAATTCTCTCTGGGAAAAACCCAGTTCCCGTTTTTCTATCCGGGACTCCCGGGAAACTCGTAGAGGAGTGGCGCCATCTCACCAGTCCTTGATTTGTCGCCGCAAGCGCTTCTCTGTTTCTCGTTTCTTGACAAGAACGTAACGAGGACAGACAATTATCAAATGCTATTGTCCGTTCATCGAAAGATAGCCTCCGACGAAAAAAGGAGGCCCCGCCCCATTTACCGCCACATCGACTCAATCGGCCCATGCATTCGTTGTGTCCGATAAAATGGCCCAGTTCGTTTTTATTAACCACTTACTTTCAACATAGTCAACAATGTGCTTTTAAGACTTTTATTTCATTGGGATTTTGATGGATTTGAAGTACTGTCGTAATTTTTTCCCTAAAGGACATTTAACAACTTTAATTGGCTCCATTAATAAGTATATTATTCGAGGGGTGTACTTTTGTTTTTTAAGACGCCTGATTAAGTATTCAATTTTACACTCATTCTTGGATATTTACGTTTATATTACATGAATACTTACCATTTGTACTATGCCTAGAACTACAGTTGTAGAGCTTTCCGCTTGTCTTCAAATTAGTGAAATGACCGCGCTTACCAAAACAAAGAGAGGGTGAGGGTTAAAAATAAATAAAGTATATGATTTGTTCGTTGGTTTAACTAAGGTGACCTCCTTTAGGTGACCTTAAGGTAATTGTCTTCCTTTTGTAAGTTCTATCCTCCCTCGAAAAGTGTCCTCCTTTTTGATGTTTGAAGACTAATCTGTAAATCTCCGTATTCAATCAGTGCTGAGTCGATCCGTTGCGTGTGATGTGGTATGACGTGTTTGTATTTAACATGACGATTCATCAAGCCTCCGTACAGTGCGACGAGATGCAATTATGAGACGCATGCTCTTCGCATGGGAGATCTTGAGAGAGAGAGAGAGAGAGCAAATGGCTTTGTTTACTTCTTATCGAAACACGACATGGCACCGATGCATGCAGTAGAGATTATTATGGTGTATTATTGTTGCAATGAATAAATGTTTCTTGTTTGCGATATTTTTCCCTTCAATTTATTAGTGTCCTCCTTTTCACTGTAAAAAAGTTGGTCACCTTAGTTTAACTTTCTCTAATACTATTGTCAATAAATACACAAATCACATCGTACTTTTACTTAATTAATTTAATTAAAATTTTTCCCTTAAGCCCTTATCCCGAGTAAACTCGGGCAGGTTACATAGCGTTACAAAACAAACCGTCGTTTGGATCCTCCGATTTTTTTTTTGATTTTTGGATGTTTTTGTCTCCAAATTTTTTTCAAAAATTTTTTCCCGCGCGAAAATTCTAGAAATAGATTATCAGTTTTATTTATTTTATTTATTTATTTATTTATGTTGTTCACGGTTTAAAAAATTTATATTATTCGTGAATATATTATTTATATTATATCAATTTATATTATTTTAAATACACGTTTAAATTTCGAACGTTTTCTCGAATTTAAACAATAGCCACTTTGTTCGAATTAAGAATTATTTCGTATAGAAGAATATTCTCGTCATCTAAATCGTTTCTTAAAGTATTAAATTTTGAGTTGAAAAAATGTCTTTGGATCGCTCGGGTGAAAAATTACAGCGTTTCAAAAGTGCATTACCGATGCCAGATGAAGATGGGGATATATATTACGACGCTATTGATTTCGAAGACACCTTCGAAAGCCTAAGAATTAAGAATGACAATCAAACTTTGAAATTAGGGTCGAAAGATAAAGAAGATAAATATGATTTAAATATGAGTTTAGGAGACAGAGAAATGGCGACGAAAACAAAAGAAGCACACAGTAACGACAAAGAAATAAAACCTACTGAAATTAGAAAATCAATTATCAATTGTTTAGGATACTTGATTAAAATTATGAGAGAAACTTTATCTACCGAAGACATGGACGAAATCATTCAAGAAGACGTTAACTGCGACGGAAATGTAGATTTGCATAAACTCTTAAAAATATTCGTAAAAGAAAACTGTTTAGACGATGATATCAAAATAAAAAATGATGCGAATTTCAATGTAGATGCATCGAATACAGCTAACATTCGAGAATTAAAAAGAAGAATGATTTGTATAGGTATTATAACAAAAGTTTTGGGAAAAAATTTAACAGATCTTCAGGAAATATTAAATGAAGATCTGGATTTACGAGAAGAGCCGATCTTTATTGACTTTTCAAAACTTTTGGAAATTATGGCGAGGAAACTGTGGGGATTCCAATTAAGTATTCATAATGACGGGACATTAGAGTTAGGAAAAAACGATAATGTAACTGTTCAGCATTTACGGACCATTTTGACATCATTAGGAACAGTTATGATAAGTCTCGGCCAAACCATTTCGGATGAGGAATTCGGCCAAATCACGAAGAGAGATTCATCTGATGGAAATTCTGACTTTTCAAAATTGATATGTAATATGATAGAAAAGGAGATAAAAGAATCCGATTTCAATGTCGATATTATTAGAGATTTTGGCGTTTTCGATCCGAGAGGAACAGGTTATGTTTATGTGGACGAACTTCGCGAAGCCATGATGAGCACGGGAGATATGTTCGGCCAGAGAGAAATGATAGAATTTCTAGAAGATATGGAAGTTAATGAACAGGGACAGTTCAACTACGTAGATTATGTCACCAAAGTGTCAATGAAACGAAGTCAAAAGAAATACAATTTTTCATAAATGTTATCTTCGGGATTTTTCAAAGTTCTTCTCTTTAATTAAAAAAAAATTACCAAAACAGCAGGCACATTGATATT